TTTTTTGGTTCTACTGACAATTGGGTGTAAATGTGCAACCACTACTATGACTATGAAAGATACGGAACAGTTTCACCAGCTCCCAAAATTCTTACTGGGGTTTGGTATTGGTGGGGTTTGTTTGGTTTGTTTTTAGCCATTCTAATTGGTGTATAGCAGTATCTCAATGTTTGTGTGTTTCTGATATGTGGGGACCTCCAAAAAAGAAGCTCAGGGCAGAGGCTCTTGTTTCCAGGGTCTGTGGATGCTATTGTCTAGGAAGGTAAAAAAATTTCCCTCTTGGATTTGTAACTTACCCAAGAAAATGCCTTAGAAGACCTTTTTAAAAAAGTTAATTCTCAATTACAGTTGATATACAATATTATATTAGTTTCAGGTGTACAACACGGTGATTAGACATTTATAAACCTTATGAAGTGATCACCCTGGTAAATCTAGTCCCCATCTGACACCATGTATAGTTATTACAGTACTTTTCACTATGTTCCCTATGCGGTGCTTTACATCCTTGTAACTGTTTTTATAACTGGCAATATATACATCTTAATCCCTCTCCTTTTCCTCCCATCTCCCCTCCCCCTACCATCTGTAAACTATCAAAATGTTCTCTGTATAAATTTGTTTCTGTTTTGCTTGTTTATTTGTTTTTTAAGATTCCACACGTAAGTAAAGTCATATGTTATTTGCCTTTCTCTGTCTAACTTAGTTTACTTAGCATAGTATTCCCTAGGCCCATCTATATTGTCACGAATGGCAAGATTTCATTCATTTTTATGGCTGAGTGATATTCCATTGTTTATATATATGCACCACATCTTCCTTAGGCATTTGTCTGTCGATGGACACTTAGGTCACTTCCACATCTTGCCTATCATAAATAGCGCCGAAATAAACATAGGGGGGCATATTTCTCTTCAAATTAGTGTTTTGGGTTTCTTCAGATAAATACACACAAGTGGAATTGCTGGGTCATATAGTCTATTTTTAATTTTTTGAGGAAACTGCATACTGTTTCCCATAGTGGCTGCGCCAATTTTTGATTCCACCAAAAGTGCACAAGAGTTCCCCTTATTCCACATCCTCACCAACGCTTGCATTTGTTGATTTATTAATGATAGCCATTCAGACAGGCATGAGATGATATCTCATTGTGGTTTTAATTTGCATTTCCCTAATGATTAGTCATGTTGAGCATCTTTTCATACTTCTATTGACCATCTATATGTCCTCTTTGGAGAAATGTCTATTTAGGTCTTTTGTCCATTTTTTTAAATGGAATTGTTTGGGGCTTTTTGGTATAAAATTGTGTGAGTTCCTTATATATTTTGAATATTAACCCCTTATCAGATGTACCATTGGTAACTATCTTCTCCGACTCAGTAAGCTGTCTTTTTATTTTTTTTGATGGTTTCCTTTGCTGTAAAAGAATTCTATTTTGATGTAGTCCTTGGTGGGTTTTTTTGGTACAAAAGGGAGGCCCTTAGACTTAGCCTGCATGGGAGGCAGAGACTAAGAGGGAGCTGAATTGCTCCAAATAATCATAAGGGAAGAGCCTCTCAAATGAGGGATCCAGCTCCAGAGAAGAGAGTGAGAGGCCAAGAATGTAGCTAAAGGAAATCTGTGATGATTTTACAGACAGAGAGGAGCTTTGTGAACGTGGCAGGCCCAGAGACAGAAGTCTCTGCAGGAAGAAATTCCCCAAGCACAGGGTGCAGCCAACAATTTTCTAATAGGGAGATTAGACATTGAATTCGGAGTTGTCTCCTGCTCTGTGCTGTGGTTATTAGGTGGGTGTGCTTCAGAGAAAGAACAGAAAAGGGTGGTGTCAAGCTTGGAGTGAGATTGAAGGAGTGAGAGGCCAGAGGGTTTCCTCGAGGTGAAGGCATAAGGAATATAGCAGAGCAGGCTCAGGAGAAATGAGAGCCTCCCTGCCTCTACCTCTCCCACAGAACCCTTTGAGTTGGTGAGGAGGGCTCTGGGCTTCCTGCAGAACATGGGCCTAAGTCCACTTTGCTTTGTTTTTTGTAATGTGAAAGAAAAGAGAGACCTCTAGGGGTGAAGCCGACTTACAGCCGTCAGACTACACATGTCTGCCGTAGTCAGCCCTGTGGGTTCCACCTGAGAGGGCAACTTCTCTCCTGTGCTCCAGCTGGAATCAGCATCCGCATGATCTCAAGGGTCCTCAGAGTACTGGAAACCTCTGGGTCTTTTGGACTCAGAAAAGAAATGTATTGGTCAAATCTCATGTATTAGTTTCCTATTACTCCTCTAACAAATTAACTTAAACTTAGTGGCTCAAAACAACACATTTATTATCTTACAATTCTGAAGGTCAGAAGTCTGACATGGGTCTCAACGGGTTAAAATTAAGATGTTGACAGGACTGCATTCCTTCTGTAGGTTTGAGGAGAGAATCCGTTTACTTGCCTTTTCCAGCTTCTAGGGGCTTGTGGCCCCTTCCTCCACCTTCAAAGGCAGCCAGCGGGGATTTGAGTCCTTCTCAGGTCTCATCACTCCCACTTCCTCCTCTGCCTCTCTCTTCCAGGAACCTCTGTGATTGCATTGGGTTCCCCTGGGTGATCCACACTACTTTCCCTATTTTAAGGTCACGTGATTAGCAACCTTACTTCTTTCTGTAACCTTAATTCCCCTTTGCCTTGTGGCACATATTTACGGGACCCAGGGATTAGCATGGGGGCATCTTTGGGGGGGAGTGTATTTTCTGCCACACCTTGCCCTGGGGCCTAAGTGGGATTCTGATACAGAGAAGCTGAGACAAAGAGCAGTGTCCACCTATATCTGAAAATGGAAAAAGCAGAGGGAGGTGCTGGGAGAAAGGAGTTTGCTAACGAAAACAACGTGGGTCAGGGAAGCCGTGGTGGGAGGGAGAAAACTAAGTCAAATGGCACTACAGGTAAGTTCTTAACCAGCTACGAAGAAAATAACAGCTGTGTCTGCAGATCACCCTTTACGTGCACTAGTGCAGCTTGCTGTTGCATGCAGTCCTGGCGGACTATCCTTGGAGTCTGAAATAGTTGGAGATGTCCCTGAGCGCAGCCTGCGATTGCGTGGTTCACTTCCATCCTGGCAGAATGGTGTGCATACTGTGTCTACACACAAAAGCCCTTGGACATCTACACCTGGTCTGAGTTCTGCCCTTAGCGCTATGCGGGGAACAACTTTTGTTTCAGTCACAGGTTAACCCTTCAGCTGCTAGAAAACGGATCAGGTGTCTCATGCCACCACCACCGCTCTATTCTAATAAAGTCTTCCAGGGCTTCCTACAGCCCCTCATAATAAATGATATGGCTTTCCACCCTTCCCCATCTTTGTCATCCCCTTGGGGGCGTACTTTTATTGTGTGAAGGATTAAAGGATGTAGTGTGTGGAGAGATGATTACCAGTCTTCTGGTCAACCACATTTAGGGTCTACTCTAATGGAGGTGATGATCCAGCAACCCACCTAATTCTTTTGTTGGCTTTACTTAAATATCCTCCTAGACAGTGAGATGAAATACTAACTCCCTTTCTTATCAATCATCTATCTGTCTCAGATGTCTTTAGATGTTTGATTTTTGCCCCATGCTGAGCCTACATCTTCAGAGGCCCCTCTTGCTTCTTTAGCCCTTGAGTTGGACTGGGGTTGGGCTCCCAGTGAGATGGAAATCTGTCTTTGGGCTTTGTCGGTTCCAGCAGCTCTGACTCCTTTAGTTCTCGGGGTAACTGCAGAAGGATCTCTGACCTGCTGCTCTGACTCCGGCATTGATAGCAGGGACATGTAGGCCCTAACATTTTGACCTCCTTGTACAATCAGATTTGGAGTCTTCGCCCTGTGAATATTTTTTTGCGCCAAGAAATCCATAAAAGCTAAGTCTCTGAGCAGTTTCACAATGAAAAATACCAGAAATAACCACTCTGAATAAAACTGGCAGGAGCTAAACAAGCAAATTGTGAGGAAGATCTTTGGTTTCCTGAATACAAAGTTGCAGAGGACAATAGAATGACCGGACTGAAGAAGACCCTGTTAAGTGAAGGATGTGGGGAGACTGGTGACCGAGACTGGTGACCCCCTCCCCAACTCTCCCCAGTCCTTCATATATTAGCCTATGCCCCCAAGGGTGCGATGAGGATGAGGAAGGGTAGAAAACACATCATTCATTATAAGGAAATGTAAGAATCCCTGGAAAGATTTTACTAGAAAATTAGAGAAGCCTGTACAGGTCTATAGCACTCAACACTAAAAAGGAGGGCCACGGTAGCAGGGCTTCGTGGGGGGATCATGGAGCAAAGAAGGCTGGAGCCAGAGAGGCGGGAGATAGGGAGAAGGAGCTGCCAAGAACAGAGAGGCCTGGGAATGACTGTTGACTTGGAAATATTCTTGGCATCCTAATACCACCTAGCATTTTAAAATGTTTAGCACGTGCCAGGCACTAAGTACTTTCCATACTCTATGTCATTTAACCCTAACAACATAAAAGCACAGGAGGATAACTTTATGATTATTTTCTCCTCTGCAGGCCAGAAGGGTTGGGCGCTTGCCAGAGGTCTCACAGGAAGCAACACTGCAAATGGACCAAGTTTATAGTCTTTCTTGGGGGCATTTCATGAATTGCCTCACATGATGCAGCATCCATTGCATCCACCCCCTCCCCCCACCCCTCCAGAGATCGCTCCACAAATTCCCGGAAAAGAGTGGAATGGAGAGTTCTTCTCCAGGCTAAGCACCCCGAGCCTCCCACAGGCTCTGGGCAGCACATAAACCTTCTCTGTTCCAACTGCTTCAGGACAGAGACACCAGCAGGGCCTCTCAGACACCTGGCCTCGTCCATCCCAAGTAAACAAAGCTGGAAAATCCCCTGCCTGTGCCGCCCCACCTCCCACCCCCCAGCCCCCACAGCCACATGTTCTGCCTCTGTGGCAGAGCCAGGGACAAGTGTGAGGGCTTTAGGTACAGAATTCCCAAAGTCAAGGGTTTCAGGTCACACTGGTGAAGCAGACGCCTCGGGTTTCTTCTCAGACTGGGCAGCACACAAGGTCGGTCAGCGTCAGCAGATCTGACCCTAAAAATAGGCTCTCAGATGCCAGTCTGGGTGGCTGGGTGCGCGGCACCACACGCCCTACAGACCAGCACCTCCTGACCCAGCGTGGCCCCAGCGCGCACAGGTAAGGCCCTGGGGTGGTTAGGCTGGCATCTCGTGGGTCCGGCCAAATGTCCTTTGGGGGCCTGGGTGTAAGGATTAGAAGCCCCCTTTCTACCCTATTTCTGGAGAGACAGAGAACAGCTGACATCCTTTTAGTGTGAAAGGCTTCTTGTTATCCATTTTTCTCTAGAGACTCCATGGAATTTTCTCTACTTGCCTCCCTCCAAATCTGAGCTTCCAGTTCAATGGCTGTTTCTAAAGGATAACAGGGAGGGTTAAGGCTCAGCGGAGGCATTGGATGTATTGTATCACATTCCAGCAAAGCCTGCATTTGTCCATTTAGCCAGTTGAGGGGAAAAAAATTCTCAGCAGGAGGGGTGGATAGAGGCACCAGAGTGACTCACATCATGTGTAGAGCAACACAAATCACAAATAAGTACCCAAACTCCATGGATGAGAATTCTTCCTAAGCTTCATTTGGACCGGAGGACTCTCTCTCTCTATATATATATATATTTGAAATCCTCATCTGGAGATGTTTTATTGAGAGGAAGGGAAATGGGGGTGGGGAGGTAAGCGGGGGGTGGGGGGAGAGAAACAATGATGTGAGAACATCGATCTGTTGCCTTCAGTGCGTGCCCTGGCCAGCCGTCCAACCCACAACCTAGGTATGTACCATGACCGAGGATCAAACTGACAACCTTTTGGTGCATGTGACAATGCTCCAACCAACTGAACCACCCAGCCAGGGCCAGAGAGACTAGTTTTGAAGCTTTTCCCCTTCCTGTTTGGAAGGGTGGGGCTGAGAATGATGTCTTGGTAAATATGGGAAGACTGAGTCACAGAGGGACAGGGCCACTGGACCAAGGTTGCAGCGAGTATGGGTAGGAAGGTGGGAAGGTGTCCTGCCTCTCAGACCAGGGGTCTTCCTTTAGACCCTGGTGCCCTTGTCCTAAGGCCACAGGGGCGCCTCATGGGCCTGGAACCCAAGAGCTGTTGGGAGTGGGAGGCTCTTACGTTCAGGAAAGCTGGAAACATCCAAGGGGAAAACTCAGAGTAAGAAGGGAGGGGGCATGAGGAGTGTATGGAGAGCGGCCTCCTCCCTTAAGGCCCCAGCACCCAAGGGACCCTGGTACTCAGACCTTATTCTGTTGCCATGAAAGAATAAGGAGCCCCCTCTTTGTTCTCTTCATGAAAAATCATTTCCCACCAAATGACATTTATAAACAACACTGGAAGGGCTGCAAAGTCCTATCCAAAGAAAAAGCCCTGGGCAAAGGGGTGAGAGGTGGGATGTGGGCTGGGGAGTTAAGGGGAGTCAGTGGGACCTAAAGCCCCTTGGAGGGTCTGGGCCTGGAAACAGCTGCTCCAGGGCCTGGTGCCAGAGGTCATAGCTCTGTTTGTTCTCTTTAGCCCGACCCCAGAGCAGATGGTGATTGAATTGTCACTTCTGGTGACCGTTAATGGTCCCAGGCTCACCAATTCCACAGTCATTAATATCTGCCTGGCACCACCAGCAGATATTAACAGCTGGAGAGAGTACTTTCTCCCCCTCCCAAAGCCTTGCTGTACTGCATAAAGGGGCAGTTGAGCCCCATCGCCTACAGAATGTTCAGCCTCATTTATGCCCCATCCTGTTTGCCCCAACTACCCACAGGGACCCTCAGCCCCAGTCAAACTGCTCTACTCAGTCTTCCCTACTCTGGGCTCAGAACTTAGCTCCCAACACAGTTGGGAATTCTCCACCCACCCTCCCCCACCCCTCCTTGTTCCCCCTTCATGAAACATTCTCTGAGCCCATGCTGATGTGCCAAGAACTTATGTTGTCTCATTTAATCCAACAACCAGGGAGGTGGCCTTTATCCCCATTTGTAGATGAGGACGCTACCATAAAGACCATGTACATGAGACTCAGGCCAATGAGAATCTTTTCCAAGACTTTGCTCTACTCTGCTTCACATCGGGGAGGGACACAAACTTGAGAGGCCCAGGCCTGCTCTCAGGAGCACATGCTTGGCGGCCAAGAATGAAGTGACCTGTCTATTAACATGGGCTGGGATACTTGGCCGCTTGGGTTGAACCCCAGACTCACCACTTACTAGCTTGTTGTTGTGTAACTAACAGCCTCTCTGACCCTCATTTTTCTCATCTGTAAAGTGGGGGCAGCTATTCCCTGCCTAGCAGGTTTTGAGAGCATATAACTGCTGGGCATATGGTAATAGTAACCAACCACATGGTCATTTCTCAGAGTCCTGCCAGGTCCTTGATTTTTCAGTGAACTTTTGTGACAGCTTTAAGAGGTGGGCACTTGGCCCCCAGCCTTCTCAAGGCCCGGAGCCTCTGCTGCACAGCATCAAGAGACAGGCATAGTGAGGGGTAGAGGCCTGGATTGGAAATGGACGGGAGGGGGAGGGCACAGTGAGTGCCACACTGCCATACTCTGCCCTCCTTCATCTTTCCCTGCACACAAAAAAACTTCATGTTCTGAGGGGATGCACAGTGGGAAACGGTTCTTGAAAGCTTGCACTGAAAGGCCATCTATTCCTGAATTCATGAGCTGTGAGGCTGCCGGCAGTGTTCCCACACATCTTCAGAGGAAGCAAAGGCTCAGCTGCTCAGGAGTCGGGAACCGCAACTGGCCTGATCAGACGTCAGAGCCTCTCAGCTCCTGTGCCAGAGCCTCCTCTCCCCCTCAGGGCCGGGCCACGGAGGTGAAGTCCATCTCGGCTGGTCGGCCCCCTTGTTTGAGAAAAGAGCCGAGTGTGGGCCTCCAACAGCTTCCCCGAGGCCCAGCCCTGCCAAACCAAGATGGGGGAAATCAATTAGGAGTTCATAAATTACCACCCCGAAGCACTTTGAAACCATTTGAAGAGTTAATCAAACAAGTTAATGACACCAACACCATCATAGAAGGAATATTAAATTACCTCTTTAAATGAAGGCTTTTGTTTTTTTAATAAAAGAAGTTTATATTAATTCACATAATTGCCTTCTGTTAACATACTTGCCAGAATAAAAAAAGAAATCTGTTGAACTTGGATTATGTCTGATACATTAAGAATTAAATTATAGGCAACAAAAAAAATTCCTGGGTTTTCATGTCCAAGTTTTAATTTTTAAAAAATCCACAACTTTTATTTCCTGGTTGGGATCATTTTTGTAGATTTAAGATGCAAAAGACAAGCACCGACTTGTAGAAAATTAAAAATATGTATATTTTTATATGTACCCTGCTGCCAAATTCCATCCCTCCACATACCCCAGCAGTCGGTATTACTCTCCTAATAGAGTGATTTACTCAACCACAATAACATTTCTAGCCCCCTCTTCGTTCCAAGCCCACCTTGGGTGGTGTCATAGAAGGAATGTGGCGTGCGTGCATTTAAACAGACTGACTTTCCCCTATGATCCCAATGCATTAGGAACGTAAACATCCTATGCACATATAGGCTCAGATACAGGAGGTTTGTTTGTTTGTTTGTTTTTTTGTTTTTAAATTAGATTATAAAGCACTCTACTAGACCAAAAACTTCTGGAAAGGAGAGACCTCTCTGGGTTGGTCCATCTCTAGCTCTTAACAGAGGGATGTGTGAGTTACATTTGGGGGCAGGTCTAACATCTGAGGTGAAGTCAAAGAGAAACCAAGGCCACTTTCCCATCCCCGCTCGTGACCCACCAGAACACGCCAATGCTGGGTGACTTAGACTAAACCCAGACCAGGCTAAGGCAGGTCAAGGATGCTGGCTCTGACACCGCAGGGGACAGGGGGAGCACTGCCCTCTTCATCTGACTTCTGTTTCCAATCAAAGGGAAAGAAATTTGCCGTCAGATGTGGATTTACCCTGAAGCTTCAGAACCCCATCCTTGCACTGGCCTCTTTGAAGGCCCTGTAGCTATTTGGTGTTCTTTCTCTTAAAGAGATTGTATAAGCTTCAGGACCCACAAAACTTGATTCTCCTCTGGTTTCCTGAGAAGCATTGAGGGACTAGAATGACCTTCTAATAGGACCCAGGCCTGATTGCTGCCCCAGGGACCTCAAGGAGGACACAGCTCTGTCTTCAGGGAGCTCACACTCATTGGGAGAGTACTCAGTGCCACTCAAGATGCAAGGGCCACCTGGTCGGGCCTTGTCCTGAAGGCCACCTTCCTGTGCCTCAGCCAACAGGATTAGGGTGAGCAACTGCTGTGCCCAGAACAATTCTAAAATAGAACATCCACAGGTTTCCCACTTCCATATACTCAAATAATACCTGTTCATCACAGAAATTTTAGAAAAGATGTTTCCTTAAAAAGAAGAAAAATCACATATAATTTCATCACTCTAAAATAAGTGCATAGCCAGTGTTACTATTTTGGTGAAATGGATTTTTGTATAAGAACAGAATCATATTGTACTTGCTGCTTCATAAATTTCTGGTTTCTTCTTCTCTCCACTGGTGTAGGCCTTTTCCCCTTTGATTTCTCAAAACCACCACAAACGTGGCTCTTTGTCATGTTTAACAGTTTCACTCAAGGTTTAGGGCAACACAAAGAACTGACATAACTATGGGGCACTGCAAAGTTGATGGGAATCCCTGTTCTTAGCCCAGCAGCTGTGTCCCCCAGACACATCTCATCCAGCTGTCTCTGGCCCCAAGCCCTCCCTCCTCCACCCTGCGGCAGGGCCCCCAACACCCCCTCTGGGAATGTTCCAGGAGATGCAGAACTCCCCTTGCTTTCTTGTACAGAATAGCTTAGCTTTCTGTGTTTCACGCCACCATTTTCTGAGCCATGCTTCAGGACTTACCTTTTTCTCACCAAAAATATACTCAAATGAGCCCTGGCTGGCATGGCTTAGTTGGTGGAAGCATTGTCCTGTAAATTGAAATGTCACAGGTTTGATTCCGGTCAGGGCACAAGCCTAGGCTGTGGGTTCGTGCGTGCATAAGAGGCAACTGATGGATGTTTCCCTCTCTCTCCCTCCCTTTCCATCTCTCTAAAATCAATAAGCATGTTCTTGGGTAAGGATAAAAAAAATTTTTT